TGTTGACTACTTTTTCTTCATGCAAACTTAAGAGACCCTGTGAGTTTTCAATCAGCTCCAAATGCCTAGAAATCTCCATTGTCATCACCACCGTGTTTCACCCATGGCAAGTCTGTTGATACTTCTTTAACCTTCTCAGAAGTCAAGAAGTTTGAACTCACCAGGACAAAACTCTAAACTCTTCGACTCCTCTCTTTCTCTTTGCAATGCCTCCTGCAAGTCTGATGTCTTTCTTCTACAGGATCCAATGCAGTTTCCAAGAAGGCATCTTTACTCTGAGTAAACACTGGATTATTTAAATTAAAGTGGTTGAATTTAATCTACTATACAGTTGAGAATGTTTAATGCTACACAGAGACTTCTTTGTTTAGTATATTTTGGACTAAGGCAGTAACTGTCATTTTATGAAAATATGCCTCTATTTTATGACTATACAAAATGATGAGAGAGCTGAAGAGTTTGGGAGGAATAGGACATATCTGAGAAGTGATATTTCAAAATTTATGCATTTTATATGTAGAAAATTTTAGGGAAAGAAATAGTTATATCAACAGATAAAATATTAACATATGTAAATATCATTATGTGTATATCCTTAGATTCAGCCCTCAGCGTTCTAAGGTAATGGAGCTGCATCTCAGTAGATGAAGCTATAGGGTATAATCTGCAGCAAAAAATGTAGAATCAGCATTGTCCTTAATGCCCCTTACTAAAATATATACTAACCTGGATAGTAATATTTATGATTAAGTATATAATGCTCATATATTGTTATATATTGAAAAATAGTCCCATACAATTTTATGTTTACATAAAAGACAACATGCACAGAGAAATTCTAGACATCGGTTGCCCATGTGTTGTGACCACACTCCGCCATTTCTGTAAAAGAGCCAAAGCTCCCATCACCTCTTCTGACTTCTTTTCCTTTGATTTTTTTCTAGTCCTTGTTTATTTAACTTCTATTTATAATTTAATGTTTTGAAATTTGTTCTCAAATATTGATTCTTGAAACATTTGTGTTTTTCTTTCATTTTCATTTTAATTTTTAATTTAGGTGTATGAGTGTATTGCCTGATGTGTATGTGCCCTGCAATTGCCACGGAGTTCAGAAGATGGCATCAGACCTCCAGAAATTGGAGTTATGGATGGTTGTTGGCTGCCATTTGGGTGCTGGAAGTCAAACCAGGGTCCTCTGCAAGAACATCCAGTGCTCTTAACTGCTGAGCCATCTCTCCAGCCCCAACTTTCATGTTTTCCATTTATACCAGAAACAAAACTCTGTTTCCTTTCATTTATTCGGTAGCCAAAAGACAACAATTATGTAAAGTCTGTTAGTGATTGCTTATGGCTTCTTTATTAGCTTCTAGTATTTCAACTTCCTTTTTAGGGAGATAATCGATTCCCCAGAAGAGTTTTTTACATTTGTGTGTGTGTGTGTGTGTGTGTGTGTGTGTGTGTACAAAAAAAAAAGTCAAACAAACTTAGAAACCCTTTTACTTGGTTTTAAGTTATCCAGGTTTTAGAAATAAATTTTCTTGTGATGAAATATATTTACATACCTCCCCAGAGCCAATGCTAAATTTGTTTTGTTTTGTTGTGGCTTATAAAGTAAGTGCTGAAAATAGGAATCAAATACATGTAATAAAAACCATCTGGTGACACAGATCAGTGTCGATTGGCAGCACCAAGGCCCTAGTTTCTATCCCTCATTCCATAAGAAATCAAACAGAAAAGGTGGAACCAGCCATTGAAAAAACTCTTGAAAGTAAGCAGGAATCAGGGAAGGAAGGAAGGGAAGATGAGGACAGATATTTAGGTGAAGAGAAACAAATACCAAAACTGAAACTTTGGGGGAGAGGGCAAGCTAGACTCTTTCTTTTAAAATTGATTTTTTGACGATGTCAAACATCTGTACAGTGCATTGCGGTTACATCCAACATTCACTGTTCTGTTCTTGCTGTTCTTAACAGAGTAATGACATCTTACCCTTTGATCTATCTTGCATTTGAGTTGTCCAAGATACTGATGGAATTCCTGTCTCAAAAAAGTTATATATTGTTGGCCATTTATATTTCTTTTTTTCTTAAAACAGTCCACTCAAGTCATAGGCCCATTTGTTTGATAAACATATTCCCTTTATATATAAGATTCTTTCCTTTCCCATCCTGATGTCCATAAACGTATTCCCTATGTGTTCATCTAGGATTTTCAATCCTAAATTTTAAATTAAGATTTTTTGATCCAGTTTGAATAATTTTTACAAGGTGAAAATTGTGAATTTAATTTCATTCTTCTGCAGTTAGAAATCCACTTTTGCCAATACCATCTGTTGAACAGGTTTTTTTTTCCAATATATGTTTTTTGCCTCCTTTATCAAGAAGTATGTAGGCGTAGATTTATCATTTTGTCTCTGGGTCATCCATTCTGTTCCACTGTTTTATGCCAGTAGCAAGCTGTCTTTATCACTATAGCTCTCCAGTATAATTTGAGTTCAGGTACTGTAATGTTTCCAACTCTGTTCTTACTCTATAGGATTGCTTTGGCTACCCATGATCTTTTACAGTTCTATATGAATTCTTGGATTCTTTTCTAGTTCTGTGAAATATATCAGGATTTTTATAGGCATTGCATTAAATCCGTAGATTAATTTTGGTAGCACTAGCTGTTTTCACAATATTGTTTCTGTCAATTCTCTGATGTTTTTGCTTTGCCCTAAGTGAGTAATCATGACCAATTCCCATTATCCCACTTGTCAATGGAATCAAAAAGGAAACTAAACTCTCACAATCACTGCCCCAAAGGGAAACTTATAAAATACAGAAATTTTACCTCAATATGTAGAAAATTGAATACATGCATCAACCATGAAAAAAAAGACAAAAACTGTGCTCTGTTTCTTTTGAAATTACCCAATCTTGTTTTTGATTCTAAATATTATAGTATACCCATACACACTTTGTATATATATAT